CGGCTTAATGGGACACACTGTATATTTCTTTTCGCACTGTTCCATCTATCCGCTACACGTGTAAATATTTACGAATCCGAACATCTCTCTCGCTGGCGTCACAACAAAGTGAAATTCTTTTGTATTTACGCAAGACACGACATTCTTTTGCTTGCTGTAGGTTGATCTATTTAGAAACATGACCACGAATTTTAACAGCACTATAAAAATTGTAGAAAAATATATGATCTTTGCGTATAGGTAGAGATTGCGATTTTATTAGAATTGATGAGTTGGATTCCTGCTGTATATTATCTTTCTTTGTACTCAAGAACTATTAAACTAACCAAACTCTTCATGGGCTATCCCACTGTGATCCACCGTTGTTTTAGTTTGTTATTTGCTAATTCCTCCACAAAAATCGGCAATGTCATGCGAGTGTCGGATTTGGCTTTCATTAATTAATTACTATTCGAAGTACCAAACATTTAAAATCATTCCCGGGACAAATTACGTTATTTCTCAGAGCCTAAAAAAAATGCATCTATAATCATAGCCAGACCTATAGAAAGATTCAACTTTTAGTATGTGTTTCATTGTGTTAACGATTATTTGATAGATTGTTTTTCACAAACACTTGGAGAAGAAATATCTGAAATGGATATTTGCATTTGTTGATATTGAAGTACATAACATAGTTGGAACCCACGCCGATTTACAAAGAGTTCCAAAAATTTAAAGACCGATCTAGTAATTACTATTATACTAACTTTGCTATAGTTTTTGTCTTTTCTATGGACTGCGAACATCATACCAAATGATACATGGTTCCCAGCACAGCAAGATCATGTCATTTGGTAAACTAAAATAGTCTCTACACTATTAAGTAAAATTTCAATGCCGAAAAGCTGGTTTAGTGCTTACAATCAATTATATGTGTCCCCAGTAGGGTTGTGGAATTTGCCGGTCATTTTTTTTGTCTCAATTGGCCGAAATAATTTAAAAATAAAAATTAAATTTATATTTATTTATTTATATTGATTTTTTTTATTGGGATTTCCCAAATCGCCAAGTATCGTATTCGGACATTCCTTGAAGAGCGTTACAAACGCATAATAATTTATAATAAAATACCTATTAATATTAAATCTTTATTATTATAAAGATCTTTAATCAGAAAATTTAACGAATTGAAAACGTATTTTTAAATGTCGTACTTGAGAACCATATTTAGCACATTTAGCTTATGGAATAATAGTCTGGGGGGAGTGTTAGATGCTCATCTTAGAACGCTAGAATTCACTCAAAAGTGGATATTAAAAATAATTTACGGCAAGAATAAACTATATCCAAGCAATAAGTTATTAAGGGAGAGAGTGAAATTTTAAATATTTGTCAACTTTTTGTGCAAAGTATAGTAATCCGACAATATAAGAAAAAAGACACGTTACAAATTATAAAGCATAATCATAACTCCAGTCACAAAGTAGTAACAGGTTACCTTACTCAACACTTCATTAGGACAAAGATTATTTTTGTACTTAAGCCCAGATATCCACAGTCAGCTACCGATTGAAATCAAAAATATAAATTCTTTAACTTTGTTTAAATCTCGACAAAACAAATGGCTGCTAAGTCAAGAGAGATCGAGAGTTCATTCACTGCTAATGAAAAAAATATGGCTAGCTTCAAAAGTACGAAAAAAAAAATAAATTCTCGAATGTGTCAAACTATCCCCAACAATGATAAAAACACTTAACCAAGAAAACGTATTCAGAACTATACTATTCGCTAGCTTATTAAACTACGTCAATTTGTTACCGTTCGATTTTTCATTACCCTTTTGATTTTTCCAATTTGTGTTGATTTTTCTATATTTAATTGCATGTATAATTTAGGTAGGTATTCGTTATCTTTCACTAACACTTTTTACTATCCATAATTATATAAGACCTATAAGTTTAATTCTCACCGACAAGAAGTATATCTTTGGTGTTATTTTAGTCTATTTATCAAACAATCGTAATTATTTTACTCCTACTTCTAGTAAATAATCTTTTGTTTTATTTTTTTAACGTTTATTTTTTTGGATATTGTGGCTGATATTGATTGATAAATAAACTTATTATTATTATTATTATTATTATTATTATTATTATTATTATTATTAATGATAGATAACACTCTACAATTGCAAGATGTTCTTTGACGCCAGCCCCAACCATAGCACAGCAGACCCGTATGTCTAATTGATAGACTATACCGTTGGGTTAAATTCCAAGTCCAAAAGACTGTTTATTATATATAATTATACTTTAATTCATTCATTCATTATTCAATTCTCTGCTATAACTCGCAGCAAACCATATGCCATTTCATACACTAGCAAAATTCTTTGACTGAGTCTCCTATACTGTTCACCGTTCACAGCGATAAAAAACGATTCCCAACGAAAGCTCAGTGACCCAACTTAAAACGAAATCTTCGGCAAACCGGATACAAGACGCGATATCTGCAAAACGGTATAGAGTATGGGACGTATGGCAAACTTATAAAAGATAACGATGAATGTTTTTAAAGTGCCAAGCGAGCAATAAAGCGGCAAAGAAAACAACAGTTGGTCCTGAGGCAACGTAATTTTTCGCGTATACGCATTCATTTTTTTCTTTACTTGACTGGTGCCCACAACGATCCGCAAATTAAGGAGCAATGGGGTTCACGGTCTGCGTGAGCTATACGAGTTAATGAAAACCGTTTGCCGTACAAGGTTAATACCGTTTTTAATCGCTTAATTGTCTTGTATTATATTTTTTTAAATGAAGTTTGCTAAGCGATTCGTGAGAGTATTTTTTTAAAACACATCGTCGTCGTCGTCTTTTACCGTTTTATGCCACAAAGAAAAAAGGAAAGAGAAGCATATTAAAGGGTAATAACATCGTTAGGAAACCCAGACCCAATTTTTTGGAAGGAAACTACTTTCGGAAAATCCTAAAAGGTGCTGTCAAAGTGTCAAACTTGGAAAACTTGCACCGAAAAATAAGAAAAAAAAACGAACGAAAAAGAAAATGCCCCTTAAGAGTGTCATAGTGTTGTAAATGTTTTTTTTTTCATTTTTTATAAATAAATAACGTAAATATTATTATTTGAAGAAGAGTGTTAATTTTTTATCTCAGTAAGTAATATGAGTATATTTAGCATAAGTAGATTTTAAAAGGAGTTTTAAAATGACTAAAAATCATTAAAAATTAATTCAAATAAACCACGTGTCGAAAATAACAGCATTATTTGTAAGTTTTTCAAACAATTAATTGAAATTCGTTTTCAGAGTTTTTTTCTCATAGACCAATTTCAAAATTGAATTGGTTCCGGTGCTGTAGCTACATTTCTACCATATTCCACATAAATTCCATATAAATGTGTTTTTGTCACTTTATAAACCACTCTAAACCAAAACTTCAATAACTACAGGGTGATTAATTTTAACTTCAATAACTACAGGGTGATTAATTTTCGGGGGGTCGTATAAACTTTATCCCTCGAACATAACGCCTATGAACTGAGTAATATTTTCGCTTTTTCCAGTTGATTTTAACACTCTGTTTCCTTAATAAATGCGAAAAACTGTTTAAAGATTGGATCTTTGCCTGATTATTCGCCTAGTATCGGTCGAGAAGCGATAGATTGACGAATAGAAAGCATAACACTTCATTAACCATTCACATAAATTATAAAACAAAAAAAGCGAGAAGTAACTAAATAAGTAATAAGTTGTACGCCCAATAACTCCAAGAATTCATTAGCATTATAAGATATTCTGAGTAAAAAAGTCTTTCATTTTGATGCTAAATTGTCAGTAAACTGGAGTAACAAGGGGTGATCATATCAACTTGCCTAGTATAGCAGTTGTGTTTACTGGTAGATACTCGATACATATCCGCTTTTTCATGTATATATAAAACAGAGCGACCTACGTATATTGTCGCGTCACCAAAACTACCCGTTTCAGCAACACGTCGATTCGTTGAAAAAAAAGGCAGTATTTTTACACACATACCCTTTAATTCAGTAAACTCACCAAATTAGTAAAAAAACAAGTAACGTAAAAAAGTATGTACAGTAACAAACATAGATAATTAGCGATAAGTAATAAATTCAACAAGCAAAGCCTCGAATTCGTAAAAATTGGCTTTCGACGCTTGCCGAAATCCTTAACGATACTAAAGTTCTAAAATTCAGTTTTCTAAAAAGTAAAACACATCTATTTAACTCAATACGTACTTCAAAAGCCGCTTAAACCATGCCCTAAGAGGAACCCTTGTCTTCGGTCATAAATTAATAGACAAGTGTTCGCCAGGCCGATCGTTACCATCAGTAAAATCGTAAACTTCGACTTTTGAATAGGATTGAGAAAAAACACGTGCATCTTAAACTGAAATTCCCCTTATTCTAAAAAATGCCACAAAATTGTTCCCTATAAATATTTACTGGCTCTAACATATATTATGGGTATAAAAGCTGATTGGTGGAACTAAATAATAAAGTTTATACGAAAAGCAATCAATTTGTTGTTTAAAAAAACTATTAGAAATTAAATGAAAAAAGCAAAAAAATTTCAAAACTATAACATCTTCCTTTAAAAACTAGCTTTACAATTTTAGTCGATACACTAATAGAATTGACGTAACTTACAGAAGGACAAAATTCATTAAACAAAACCGAAACTTTTTTATAAATTTCGTAAAACTGTAACTGTTAACAAAGAAATTTTAAAATACAAGGTGAAAATGCAATCTCCAGAAGAACACGAATATATTTCAGTCAAACTAAAATGATCCTCAGAGGTGAATGACACTATGAGATAAAAGTTCATAGGACCCATGACCAAAATGTCGGCAAGTTAATTTCATTTTTCTATTCGCGATTTTTAAACGCGAATGTGCGAATATTTTCCTCGAAATATTAACAATAAACGTCAAGACTATTATACTAAAAGTCTTCATTCGTTTTAAAGCGAGACTCACCTGCAAGGGACGCCTGTTGATTTTCCTGCTGAACCATCGTCGCTGCTCTGGAAAGCACTTCCAGCGGCGATTCCGCGCCTCCGTCCATGATGCTGCGGCTGCAGTTATCTGCTACGTTGGAATGCGAGGTTATCATCATCTGGTCGCGGTCTCTGTTTTCGGAACAAATATTTATAGTTTATTTTTTAGCCACGTTTTGTTTTGTGTCGGTAACCGATTAGCAATTCTATAACACTGGGCGGTAACTGGGGTTGCAATATTTAAAAATTTGAAAAGCGGGAGGTAAGGTTAGCGAAGGTGAGGGTGTCACGCCTTAATTATGCCGCATTTGTCATAAAAAGCATGAAAATTTGATATTTTTTGTAGCTAATAATCTTGACCATATTTTCCAGGACAAAACGAGTGAATTGTAAAAATAAAACGAAACACAATTTTATTCTTAAAACATTAAACTGAAAACAACCACCTAACAGTATATTGCTGAATTTTAAAAATACGGGTCCTTTTGCAATTTTTATATTTTAAATCCAACCCTGTTTACCGTGTGATTTGGAACCATTCTAAAATAGTTGTGGAACAATTGTCTGCAATAATTATATCTTGGTGGAGCAATTGATAAACAATTGACCACACTGTATATCCAACGGACAAGTTATCCATAATATCCTTAAAAACCATCACCCTATATAAAAAGAAACTCCATGACACGACTCGCTTCACTCTTTTGACCATAGAATCGGTGTTGACAAATAATGCGCTCAAAATTTGAAATATATACGCTGAAATTGTTAACCTTTTTATTCGTGCATTCACAGATTCCCTAAAATATTAAGATTCGAATTGTATTAAATAAATCTGAGTGTTTGTAAGAGTCCATTAAATTCATTTGTTATGGGGCAAATGTGATTTACGTCATGGTTGGTTGCATAACTATGAGGATTTGTCGAGTGTCGCATATTTAAGAATGGAACCGTCAAAAATAAAAATAAAAAACCGGACGAAAATTTAAACGGAAAACATTCAGGATTCAAGTAACGGTACAGATCGCAATTGATCTGTCTACGATGCTCTCACGTAGGCATTTCATAAAAATTCTATAGCGGTCGTTATTATTACCAACAAACATTTAATTGTTATGTGCTTCCGGAAATACCCACAGCTATGTATATCCGCTTATACAGCGTGATCAATTATGTGTTGAACTGAGGTGGCTTTTAATTGATGAAAATCCATTTAAAAATAAATAAGAACTAATAGTTCAGATTTTCACGAAAATATATTATGACAAGATAATTGTTTCGACAACAGCGTGTCTTTATCAAATGTAATATTTACAAACTACCTGCTACTATATACACCGAAAAATGACCATAAAACCTTAATTAAAGTTGTTGCGAGAAATTAAGTTCAATAAAGGAGAGGTATTTAAATCTAATTGATCGTTAAGCAATATATTTGAATGTCTCATTTTGTTCATCTCCATGGCTTCCAATAAATTTAATTTTCTACTTTTTTTGGCTTTTGACATGAACATTACGAAAAGTATTTATATAATTAAATTGTAATTTTTTATTAACACTTACAATTTAACATACATATTCTTATTATCAAATATTACTATTTTTGAACTACTGTTTAATGTCCTAAGCATGAATCTCTCTTGACTTGTAATTCCCTGTCAACATTAATTTTGCAAATACTTATATTTAAGTTTTACCAAAGTTGTGCGAATTTGATTGGATTTTGATTATTAATTCGTGAAAATATTTAGGTGTAGACCCAAATATGTGGTGTTCAAACAATTTCAAAGGATTAAACAAAAAACAAAGACATTTTTTGAAATAACTAATGCATTATTGGAAATACTTATTTGTAAAGATAAAATTTATTTGAACATTTTAGTTTAATATACCTTAATTTACTTTTAACTACGCCCTGTTTAAATGGCGAACTTTTAAGGGCACAGCCACGACATTTTTTTTTCTGAAACACCAACGTCTTCATATACAGTGTGGTGCAATAGTGCGTCAAAGTAATATATGTCTATTTTGGAAAAATGTTTTAATAAAGTTACACTCAGTATTCGGATAGAAAACTATTCTCAATTATATTGGGTGGTTTATAAAAGAGTGACAATCCAAAAGTATATGTATTTTGTTAATGTTGATTGTTTCTGGTTTTGTTATTCTCATTTTTTTATTTTTGTCATAGCTTTCTAAACGGAACACCCTGTATCTACGTACTTTATTGTCTTTAGCAATTGTCTGTCTAGTTTCCCAATACCTACCTATACAGTTTTTCCGTAATATTCCTTTTTGTCAACTAATCATTTGCAAAAATGCGTTAACTTAACATATTTTTCCAAAACAGTGTTAAATATAGGAGATATAATACTTTTCCATACTATCGCGCCACATATTATAACTATTATTACACCAAATAACAACAATCAGATTAGAAAATGGGAATTGATGTCATCTGCACATTCCGAATATTCATAGAATGATATTTTAGATATTTTAAAAGCATTCCCGAAGCCAAATACTCTAATTACATCAGCACGGGCATCAAGTATACGAGCAATTTGGATTCGACGCGCATTCCTGGGTCACAATTTTGGCCATTTTCCTTATTGCTTTCCCGTCACATTTCCTTTTCACTTTAACATTGCGCGAAAATGCTAGGTACGAGACAATACCCGCAAAAAATATTTTGGTATTGCCAAAATAAATTTAGGTGTTACTAATTTTGGCATATTAAAAAGGAGGCTTGGTTGACCCTTGCTTGGCAAAGATTCGAGAGTTAGGCGGTTGTCAAAGACTTCTTTGTCCATTTTCTCATGATGACACCGTGGGTGTGTTTCTTTTTGCGATTAATAAACCAATGGAGTCAGAATAACAAATAAACACGTGGGAAATACTATAAGACATTCTTTGTTGTCAAATTGTGCCCGATTTGTTACCCAAAAATGTACACAAACATCTTGAAAATGGAAGAAGTGACTGAAAGTCGGAAACCGTGACAATGAACGCAGCGTAATATACCAGATGCACGAAGGAATTTGGAACATGTGCGTACCAGATGCTTTCTTTGTGACTCTTCTACAAAAGGAAAGTATTTTCCGAGCTCCGTCCAGGGCACATAAAATTTACGCCCCAACTCTTTATTTAACCACCAAGGTAAATAATTAATTTAATAAAATAATGAATAATTGATAAAAATCATATACATATAATATAAAAATTTGTTTACCTAATACTTTGGGGTATTAGCATAAATTCCATTTTCGATTACCATTGTCAATGACATATTCACTCCGTAATTTATTAAATTAAAAAATATATGCGGGATTCACTTACGCTAATCTCTCGTGTAATCAGGATATCGCAAAGAAAATTGGCGTTTGACCTGGATAATAAAAATATTTTGAATTCTTTCCGAATAGTTTACAACAAAACAAACTTTACTAGGTCACCAAAAATTGCACAACTATATACAACACTAGCATAAACATATTTAACCATTTATTTCGTATGTACTTTTTTACCAAAACAAATAAATATTAAAATTTTCAAATTGATAATTTTTATGCAGCTACTTCTTAGTAATTATACTCAAATAAAAAACATATAAGAACACGTTTTAGCTGTTTACTCAAAAAATATTTTTTCAATCCGCGTTCGAAAAAATTGCTTCTCAGTAACCCCCGCTAGGGAAACCGTATTCCACCCTTAAAATCGATATTAAGTACTACAACCTAAAGAAACTCCCCAATATTATCACGCATACTGACCTTTTTGACTTCGAATTCGCACACTGCACTTTGATCCACTAAGTTAATACGCTTCTATTACACTTTTTCCGTTCAATACCGCACTAAACAGCAAACTTGTGAAAAGAATTTGACATTTCGGTCGAACCTGTGAGTTTGGAATGTATGGAATGTCAAATATTTACGATGGCCCTCTGTCGCAAAACGTGCAAAGTAAACAAGTCGTTTAATCGATAAGATTATTGCGGTTTGGAGTTTTTCGTTTCTTTTAATTTCAACTTAATCACGTGCACACTTCTAAAACTTATCACTTCCTTGTTTTTGCGTGCGACGGAGAAAATTTCGACAAATTAACAAACAACAACAAACGATAAAAGTTCTATAAATTATTGTATCGTGTAAACGAAACTTTCGTTTTATTGGCTGAGCTATTTGCATGTGATGGGTGCTCGTAGGGGAGGAAAACAGTTTTGATTTGAAACGATAAGAATGGCAAGCATCAATCGGGACGAGATTTCGCTAACAGCGAGAATGCGATATCAAAAGTTATTTTTATTGCGACTGCGCTTATCCTTCAGTGGTTAGCGCCAAATGGTAAATTTCTTTAGTATATTTTCAAAGAGCCCAAAATTAAATACTCAAATTCACGTAAAATACAAAATTATATTTGCTCGTTCTCTCAATTAATTTTGTTGCCATTTCATTTTCATTAAAAAAAAAAGTTTTCATTTAAGGAACTGCTGTTATTGTCTATGACCCATGTCATTGTAATCTGTGATATGAACTAAACTAACCCCATAATAAAAATAACCTAATTTTTCGTTCAAAAATGTTTATGGTTTGTTTGTTCTAAAAATGACGGAAAAAATAATGTACTGTCCATTTACCTCGTCAGTAAATCCCAGTTTCTGGAACAAGTTAACTGCATTAAAATTGGACGTCGACAAACTGAGTGAAACAGAGCATCATGTTTGGGGGTACTTTCATATTTTAGGCAGTGAAAATGTACCCTCTTCGGTCGTTGAAGTTGACAGCACATCATTCAATGAGTTAGCATGTTGCAGCTTTGTGTTTCTTGTTCCTATTAAACATGTAAATTTGTTGTAGATGTTTTGTTAGCCAGAAGGTGTACATTCCTTTCGAAGGTAAAGTAATAAATAAAAACACCATTGAGCAGTTCAAAGAGTGTGATAAAATGCACTTAATTAACAAAGAAGGTAATAATTTGCTGGGAACAATCAAATCTGGTGAAATTTTAAGGAGACCTTCATTGCTAAACAACTTTTTTGTGCTTTCTTTTGCGGTAAGCACATGTGTGTTCAATTTTTGTAGCATGTGCAATGTGCTTGTATGATACTTAAAGAATACTTTGCAGGATCTCAAAAAATACCATTATTATTACTGGTTTGCTTTTCCTGTTCCCGGAGGATTAAAATTAGAAAAAAGTAGTGAACAACTGATTTCTGAATTGTTTTCAGAAACATTTGTAAGTGCAGAAAGACTTTCTATAGACCCTATCTAAATTATGTTTTTTTTTAGTTAGAAGGCCTCCTTAATGATTTTACGGCTCTGGTGGATTTACAGAAATCATATTTTGTTGTTGAAAATTGTGGAGATAGACTTATTGCACATACCCTAGAGTCTAAAATAAAAAAACTTAATAAAGAAAATATCCACAATATTTACTTTGCTTTCTACAATACATCAAATAATTTGTCCTTAATAGGATCTCAATTAAGAAACTATGTTGCTGTAATTTTATTTTATTGGTACTTTGTTTACAACTATTTTAATTGGATATACTATAGCGGCATTATTTTAGTCCATTTTTGAAAGGGAGCCTTCAAAATTTTTTGGCATTCCAAATCAACCGAACTACTTCTTTTTCTTGTAATAAATCAATACTCTACAGCTTCAACCTTCCCACTGATTTTGAAATGGATAGCATATCTTGGGTTGGATGGGAAAAAAATGAGCGGGGCAAAATGGGACCAAGATTTGCCAATATGAAAAACACATTGGATCCACAAATGTAGGTAGTTTGTGTGGATTTTATTATTAAGCTAAGCTGGTTTGTTTGCTTTAGTCTAGCTGAAAATTCAGTCGATTTAAATTTGAAATTAATGAAATGGAGAATTTTGCCTGATATTAATCTAGATAAAATCAAACAGACTAAATGTTTACTATTGGGAGCTGGTACTCTAGGTTGTTCGGTTGCCAGAAATCTTTTAGTAAGTTAGAAAATGAGTTATTTAAAACCTTCATTTATTTATTAGCTATTTTAGGCATGGGGTGTGAGATACATCACCTTAGTTGATAACTCCACTGTTTCATTTTCTAACCCTGTGAGACAGAATTTGTTTACATATGAAGATTCTGTTAACATGAAACCAAAAGCAACTGCAGCTGCGGATAGACTCAAATCAATATTTCCTGGTGTGGTAAGAAAATTTATTTTAATTGAGGTGCTTTATATTCCTGAAATTTGCCTTTAGATTTCAAAGGGATTTGAGTTAAATATACCCATGCCGGGTCATAGTGTCGGAGAGAGTCTGTTAGAGTCCACAACAGAAAATATTGATTTACTAACAACATTAATGAAAGACCATGATGTTGTATTTCTCCTGATGGATTCCAGGGAGAGTAGATGGCTACCCACCATGTTAGGTAGTTTTTTAAATAAGGTATGGAGCTTTTTACCAAATCAATTAATTTATCATATGTATTTAATTAATAATAAAATATAATTCATTTAAAATTATGTTTATTAACAAAATGACAAAATCTTGTTAATTTCATCGACAGTTGTGAAGTTAGAAAAGAAATTATATATAAGTATACTATACATTTCTTAATTATTTTTGACAATCTATTAACATAAAAGTGAAGATTACCAGATCTTTCTAGGTCGTCATAAATGCTGCACTTGGGTTTGACAGTTACTTGGTTATGAGACATGGATCAAGGCAAGATCATCCAATTGAGACTGTTGTCGCAAAAGTAAGAGGCTATAAAACAATTCACGGATCAAATTTGGGGTGTTACTTCTGCAATGATGTTACTGCCCCAGGGAATGTAAGTATATTTCTTTTTCCTCAATAATACATTATGTCTGTTGTCTATAGTCTACTCATGATCGAACTTTGGATCAACAATGCACAGTCACCAGACCAGGGGTGTCACAAATAGCCGCAGCCTTAGCAACTGAACTGGCAATATCTATCCTTCAACATAATGAAGGGTTTGTATGTTTATTCACGCTGTAAAATTGTCGAGCTGTTTTTGGATTTCATAAAAAATTGAAAAGCGATATTTTCTCACTCACATAACTAAAAATATTATTTTAGAAGTGATGCGCCGGCCTTTTATAAAACGACAAATACCGTTGAGGATATTGAAATCGAAAATCAGTGTCTTTTGGGAGTCCTACCTCACTCAATTCGAGGTTTTTTGTCTTCGTTTGAACAAATATTGCCGGCCAATATAAAATACAATCAGTGTATTGCCTGCTCCGATCTGATTCTCGAGGAATTTAAAAAATCTGGTAGCGAATTTTTGCTGAAAGTATTTAATAGTGCGAAATATTTGGAAGATGTTACCCACCTAACTGAATTATATAAGGAGACAGATTTTGATGAGGTGAGTTATAAGTCGATTCAATAGGCACTAATAATTTTGTTTTATTTAGGTATTGGAATTTAGTGATGAAGAAATTGAATTGTAAAACATTTCTCAGTTCTTGCGTTTATGTCTAACTGCTTTTTAGAAAATATAAATATTTTCATTGGGTTGCCATTAATTGGTTTTAGCACTTTTGTATAATGTAAATGTATTGGATATTACAAAATAAGTATTAACATTTTATAGTCAATTTTGTTTATGTTTATATGGGCGTTTTTATGTGAAATAAAACTACCTATTTATTATTATTATTTATTTTGCGTACAATCAGTGACAGACTAGTGTGCTTATGGTATTGATACACCATGTAACACAAGAGTGCACTAAGTTGTTTTATAAACATTTATTTATTTTTGTTATTTTTTTTTACAACAATGACATAGATTGGAATTTTACTATATACACGTTCGTCAATACATTTACAGGATAGATCTATCAGTTAAGGACTTTTTTAATAAGAATTGGTCAGGTGCATATTTTATAATAATTTAAGGCAAAACGAATTAATAAATTTTCAAATTTTTTGTTTAAAATATTTGACAAATAACTTCACATTTATTATGTGGAATGGTAGATGGAAGTAGGTCAGTACTATAAAACATCCGAAAGATGCTTTCAAAATGTGGTTATACTTGGGTATAACAGATGGCGCAGTTTTAGGAAACAATTCCAATTGGATCAGTAGGATCAAAAGAATTCTGATATCGCACAGGTCACATTCTAACATGATATATTTTTAAATATTGCTATAACACATCTAAAAACAAGATAGTACATTTGTGCCCCCTTGAAAGATTAGTGTCAACTATTTAAATCAATATGTATTAAAGATTTTCAAGTTTGTCCTTGAAAAACAAACAAGGATGATAATGATTAAAGTTAAAATGTGTAGAAAATTACATTATTTGATATTTAAATATAGTTTATTTCTTTACACTCTGATTTAACCACGTTACATTTACTTTTGATAAGGGAGGGGTGTAAATATGACATTTGTAAAGAGTTTCGAAATTTCTTACTAATTAAATAACTAAATTAATTTTTTGAAGTTTTATATAAAAATATCGAAATTATCTTAGTTCTTTTATGGCATGATAAATTTCTTAAATTTTGAATTTATTTTTGTAATTGAACTTTAAACTATATTGTGTAGATATTTGTTAGAAACATTTACAAAATAAGTGGAAAACGTGAACTGCTATCTCAAATATAAGAAAGGTTCCAAAACACAATTTAACTAAAAAAATAATTTTAAGTAATTAATTTATTGATTGCAATTAATTTTTAACTTTGCGATTTACCTTAACTCCATTTTACACCCCCCCATATACGGTTGGTTCCATTATAGAGAAAAATAGATATAGAATATTAGGGTTCTATGTAGTATTGACAATTCCTTATTTAATTAAAATAGTTTCTTCTCGTCGATATGTCTACAATTTCTAGTATTGGTATTTGAAAATAAAAGCCACTTTTAGAAAAACGTTTTAGATGTGGGTGAAGTAAATATCTCATAAGAATTAGGGTGCCGTTGTTATCCTAATTTGCGGTGGCTATTTATTGCATTTACAAAAATAGGATTCATTGTTTACGCGATCTTTGTTCTTTCAATTGGGAAAAATATATTATTTCCTAATGAACAGGGGCCTGCTATTCGATGAAATGTACAGGTTTTTCCTATTATGGCCAAATTTCTCTACGTTCTCGCTAATCGTATAAATAGTGGAGATTTTGTAACCGTTTTGACTGGCGGTCACTTGAAAATAGGGCATCCTTTGATATTCGTAATTGTTCGATGCTTGCAGCAGCAGCGGCCGTTTTTGCGAATCCGACTTCAAGTTCCTATTGAATAACGTGCCCATATGTTTGGGCGTTGACAGCCTTATGGAAAGCGGCCGTTTGGTGGACGAAAACGGGGCTTTTCCGTGGAGAAAAGCGAGCTCGTTTTTCCTCCGGTTCACCGCGTTCTGATATATGTTCGTGTCCTTTTTGCCTCGCGTGAAGTTGTTGTAGTAGTACCTCAAGATGCTTCCTGAATTGACGTTCTTCTTATTATTGTTTTCCTTGACGAATATGTTGTTTTGCACCATCGGTCGTGGGGGCGTTGGGTTCGGGTAATACAGCTTCTTTAAAGTTTTGTCTGCCGGTATCGCTTTGACGACTGTTTCGCTTTGCGTTTTCGAGCAAGGGCACATCACGTTTGCTTGACAGGCGACCTCGCTACGTTGTCACACTTCCTGCAACGGGTATAAAAATTAAAAAAAATATATATAAGACGGTTTGTGTCAAGATTTTATTTCCAAATCGCAGATTTGAACCCTGTGTGACGAAGAACAAGCCTTTGTGCGCAGAACTAATAGTGCATGTGACCTTGGTAAACCAATTCCAACATTTCAGCTATTATTCAAAATTTTCGGTAATAAAGATTTTGAGAAAAATAATTAATTTCTCAAAAACCGCTAACGGGTGGCTCACGATGGATTTTTATTCGAAAAAGTAGCATCAACATTTGTCGTTCCGTCATCAATTTCCGGTTATTTTTGTCTAATACCCCCCTAGAAATTAATTAATTATTTTCCCTATTTTTAAAATGTGCGATTAAACCGGTTGAAACAAGAATAATGAAAATTTAGTTTTAACAATTGGAACACCGTGTATTTGAGCAACTATTTTGGAACACAATTAAAAACCCATTTCTGTATGTTCTTGTTAACTTTATTTGATAAGTTCTTCCTTTCACCCATTCTGACCTTTTTGCAGACTTTCACAATATTACCAATTAATATTATTAATAATTAAATATACCAATTTCTACAGAAAGATGCTTTTATTTCGAACTCCTTAATCTTTGGGTATAGCAACATGATGTATCATTTGGAAGGGGTTTTAACTTGAATTCCAGAATAGATAAATATGAAAAATTTTAAATAATAATATTTTCATTATTTTTGTTTCTACTGGTATAATCGCACATTTTATGCGCGATACAGAGTGAACTTGTCTACATAACACTATTGTACGAGACCGAGTTATGTTTTGTGCAAAAAAATAGAGAAAACAATTAAATACATAATAAATCTTCAGGGGTCTCTGTAAAATGCGACAAAATATTAAGTTGCTCTTTATTATTCTATTTTTTTTTCCTCCTTCAAAGTTCCATATATACTAAAGTGTTGGTAAGTCCTGTCGAAGATCTTTTTTTCTGGGCGCCTCCTTAATGGAAATTTTCTAATATGATCTCTAAGAGCCAGGGTCTTTCCTCTGTGGTAAACATAATACGCAAGCAGCATTCTAGCACTTGTTTTGTTTAAACGCCGTCATAGCCACCTTACACTAACTGAACTTTTATAGCAACAGCATAATATTTGTGACAAATGTTTAAAAGGAAATATTTCAAAATGTAAAAATATTCTATATAAAATTGCCTTAATTTTTGATGACAAGATTATAAAAATAGATAGTTTCTATTAAAAAATAAATAAACAACTGCTACAAATATATTTAAATTTATATTGTATTTTATTCTTAGTTGGACGAGCTGCAGTTTGTGTGTCTTTGCAAAGATTCTGAAAGTATTGCGTTGCTTAATGCTTGACTAAAACAGAAAACGAACCAATTTGTAAATTAGATCGAGTGAATCAATTTTTATGAAAAAAATAATTAAACAGTAGCTTATTGGTGACGATCCTATACGTGTTCACTCACCTGTAAAAATTTGATTGGGCAAACGCTCTGCCGGTTGTCTCCCGATCGTATCATCACCATGCCGTCCAGTTCCTCTCCGATTTGAATCACTATTTGGTCCCTAAGTAACATCAGCCCGTTATCTCCGTCGGAAACCTGCAAGTTGTGGGTGACCTGCGGGAAATATTATCGAAAAAAAATTGGAACCAACTCGACTCGATAAAAAGCGAAACGCTTTTTTTTATCTGGTTATAACCGACCTCGTTATTCAAACCGCTGCGGGCTCACATACAAAGCATGCACGCTTGTCTGATACGGAACGAGACGGGGATAGAGAGAATCTTTTCACTTACTTGCAGAGGTTTCTCCCCGGGCGATAATTTTGAGACGTATTTCGAAGGAAAGAAACCGATCTTGCCGAAGCATTTGCCCTTCCACCAGTCCGGGTCGGAAGTGTCAATTACCGTCACTTTGTAACCCGCCTTGAGGTCCAGTTCGTCTTGATGCCGAGACTTGAAGTTGTAAAGGACCACGTATAAATTTGTAGGAAGCAGACGGTGAGACTTCTGGATCGGAAAATTGCAAAAATGGCGCAATTTGTTTATAAATCCATATGCAAGATAAGTGTTAAAACGTCAATTAATATGTTCTTGATACGTATTATTATTTTTTTAATTATACGCTTAATTGGGTTCATCTCAAATTAGGATTTTCACTCACGCACAACACCAAAGCACCCGATGGTGCAAGTGCCGGCAAGTTCGAGTTGGCAGGTCAACGCCTTACTAACCGAGCCATCCTCCCTGATACGCATATCTGCAGTATATTCCGAGTGTCACCGACAGGATTGGCAGAGTATTGAAAAGACACGACATCAAAACAATCTTTAAGCCTACAAAGAAGATCCAGCAGACCATCAGGTTAGCGAAGGACAAGAGGGACTCACTTTCAGCTGCAGGAGTCTACCGCATTCCGTGTTCATGCGGAAAGGTCTACATCGGAACTACCAAGAGATCAATGGGAACGAGACTTAAGGAGCATAAAGCAAGCTGCAGGCTAGGACAGACAGAGAAGTCTGCAGTAGCTGAACACGCACTGGGCAGCGGGGAACACAGGATACACTTTGAGAGCTGTAAGTTACTAGCATCGGTCAACGGCTATCACAACAGACTAGTCAGGGAAGCCATTGAGATACAAAAACACCCACACAATTTCAACAGAAAGGAGGAGACCCTTAGACTCAACCAATTCTGGAACCCGAAACGTTAGGAAGTAATTCCAACCGACGACGGCCTTTAAACCCGAATCAAGATAATAGCTTAACCTTATTTGCGTATGGTATTTTTATTTCATGAGTTTCCAGTGTGCGTTAGATGGTTAAGAGCGATCTTTTACAGATATTACATTAAAAAATAGTAAACTCAATTGAGAAAAACTAAAAGTGTGAATTTGGATACTGTTATTCATCCTCCAACATCATACACTTAATCACATTCTGTCAAACTTGGGTTTTTTAGGTGCGTTGAGATTTCGTGTTTGAGG